TGGGTGTTGTGGCGTACTTCATGTTTATGTTGCGGAATGGAAGATGAGATCGACTTTTACTATCTTTCTTCAATCTGTGTGGTTTGATACCTTCTTATGTGTGAACTTCTTACTCGTAATACTCATGAAGCACGTGTGAACCTACCTGGAGTTAACATACTAGGAGTGAGTGAGCACGCTTTGACTATGTGTAGTATACCTGTATCTGGATACTCGTGCGGCTGAAGTATGGCTGGAGCGTTGGCGTGCTATTACGATTACGATCGAGTTCACTGCATCGTTAAGCCTTCGGCTACGAATCGTGCACTTGTCTGCGGCAGGGTCTCCATAGCTGATGACCACTATCGCAGAGGTAGCGCTCGGAGAGGAGGGCACTCTCCGGAACGTGGGCGGCGGGACAACCGTGAATCTTCTACGGAACGTTATGCGGGTTCCCGCAGCTGTAGTCGGGAGGATAGGAGGGATGATCCACCTAAGCGCGGACCACCAATTTGCTTTGGGTGCCGCGTCACGGGTCATTACCGCACGGATTGTTGGCGGTACCGGACAGACCCAGTTGCTCGTCGTCAAATGGAGGCCGATGGTTTTGTTTGTCCTCCCGAATTCAACCGTCGGACGGCCACCTCTCCATCACGTGACTGTGGACCTCCACCGGCTTCTGCAACGCAACCTACTGACGATCAGTGTGGGACGTAGAACCTTAGGGTATATTAGGCATGATTGGAGCTATGATTGTCCTCTTTCGGTCCGCGGACTTTCCGCCTGGGAAGACTGCAGGGTTTGACGGAAGGAACGGTGGATCTTGGGTGTTGTGGCGTACTTCATGTTTATGTTGCGGAATGGAAGATGAGATCGACTTTTATTATCTTTCTTCAATCTGTGTGGTTTGATACCTTCTGATGTGTGAACTTCTTACTCGTAATACTAATACTGAACAGGAGATGCAGATAAAAAGCAACAGCAAGGAGGGAAGGGGAACGTGAAGGAAGAGAGAGGACTTGAAAAGTAGTAGTGATCTTCTGGCAGCTTTAAAGTCAGATCCCACTACCTTGGATTATTCATTTTCGACCCTCGATTACGAAGATCAACGGTAAGAAATGAACAATAGGGGCTAGTGGGATCTGGCCCTTAGCCAGCTTAGCTTACGAGACTGAGCTCGCACCTAACTTTACTAAATAATTCGGAAAAAACAACAGGCAACCACAATTTTTTTAATTTTTATTTTTCTAATTTTTATTTTTTTTAAAGGCTAATTCTTTAAGCCCAACCAACTCAATTACCTGTCAAATCTGGACAGGACGGCCTTTCAGGCCTTTTTTATTGTCATTATAGTATTACGGGGAACCCCG